AAAAAAAAAATAAAAAAAAAAAATAACAAGGGTTTTGGCAATTCAAAGTGGACATTTGTCTTTTGTAGAGTGAATCAACTGAAAAATGCCAAAGTATTAAAAGGATTTAAATTTTGTCTATTTGTTATATGGCATGTGATATTTTTTAAAGAGAGTCAAAGTATTTTGGGTGCTCTTATTTTCTTTTGACGTGAATTTGGGAAAGTCTATTAACACATTAATAGAAATATGTATTTATATTATAAAATATTATTCTTTTGTTTAAATTCTTGGTCGACATGTCGTGCTATTTTAATAAAAGATATGTTTATGTTATAAAATATCATTCTTTGTTTAAGTGATTTCGTACGTTAACTAATCGTTAGACAGGTAGGCATGTCGTGCTATTTCAATAGAAAATATTTTTTTATGCCATAAAATATTATTCTTTTGTTTAAGTAGTTTCAAAGCATAACATCTAAGTTTGGAAATGTTGACTCAACATAAAGAAATAATAATAATAATAATAATAATAATAATAATAATAATAATAATAATAATAATAATAATAATCCTCCCTATATATAATTCCAGAATACGCTGAGCCTACGTGGCTGTTTCTGGTGCTTCGGAATCCTATTTGGCGAAGAATCATGCTTCGTAATTAGGTTTGGATAAATAATATTGATATATTAATAATTAATAATCTAGGTTCGGGTATTCCATAAATATTATTTAGCTAATTTAGGTATTTTAATATCACTTTTACTAATATAACCCTTTAATTCTTTATAATTTTACATAGTGAGGCACTAAGTGACTAATATATCCCTGAATTTTGATTTGTTTCCTTCAATAAGCTATTGAATTATAAATGTATTTTAAAAGTTCATAACTTTTGTATTTCTTATCGGTTTTACATATATAATATATCAAATTAATCATCTTTTGATGGACTTCGATTTGACATCCATATTGTATATATATGAAATAAATAAATTATATTTATATTTATAATAATAAAAAATGATAATATTTATTGAAATTCATTAGAAAAATAAAATTATTTTTTAATTGATATATTTATATGTAATTAGTTATATATTGTAAGTTTAAAAAAATTAGTATAATATAACACAAGTAAGTTGCACAAATAAAAAGTGTCATAATAAATATATAATAATATATATTCTTATAAAAGGTATTTAAATTTTCAAACTACTTTTTCTCATTAATTTTAGATTTTAAGAAAAAAAATTAGCAAGTACCCGTATAATACACGGGTGTTGTACTAGTAATAATAATAATAATAATAATAATCAGGAACATTTTTGGTGTCTGAATCAGAAACGTCCCCATGTGTAGGGAGCATATCCTTAATTCTCAAATTAAATTCAAATAAATAACTGATTAACACATCAATTCATCCTGAAAGAACAAAGGCAAGATTTAAAAAATGTGAACTATGATAGTTCACAAGAGTAAATTTTCTTCAGAAGAATCATGAAAGCATAGACAAAATACATATGATGATATGCCCTGCTCTAAAGCATATACTGAAGTACACGAATGAACAATAAAAGGTTTTGCCGGGCGCATTTTGATACATCAATCAAAAGGTTCGTCTTTGTCGATCAAAACTGATGCCGAATTTAAAACTACAAGAAAATAAGTTTTATCCTCCAATTCCAAAGAGGTTCGAAAAAAATTAAAGCCAAAACGCAACATTTGCTGAGCACACAACTTGTTCGAATTGTATGTCTCTTGCTCCGAACCCTTGTCAAAATGCGAAATTGCCCAAAGACTCGTTGTGGTGGGCTGCAAAGAAACACGACAAAATTTGCTCTTGTTACCAGTAGTTTTTTTCATATAACAAAGATGCACCGATATGCAATGCAGATAAAAACAGAAGAAAAACTTGCGAGTGCATAAAGATCGTTTACTTTAACACCCCTCGTGAACTACAGCTTCATACATTTTAGAAAGTAAAACTTGTCTTGTGTTTCTAGCATTAATACATCTTGTGATTATCATATACAGAAATCACTTTCATCGACCAATGGGTTTACGAACTTAAACATCAAATTCAAATTCATTCACTACTCGTCACCACAAGAGCAACTTATACACAATTTAATTTAAATACAGTTCACATTTCTTACATTAAGATCTCGTCAGTATTTACGTGTTGTCCTCTGCAACCAAACCTAAGTTATAAATACTCTATCTTCATTTTGATACTCAAATCATGTCTTCACGGTAAAAATACAAACTGATTTAATACAAATAATATAAATACCCAACAAGGCAGATAATAATAAATAAATGTTAGAGTAATTCATTGCCAACTAGCCAATCATCGTCATCATGAAACATTCTACGAAAACAAACAATTTTCAGTGAACAAAATGAGTAATCAAATATCCAGAAAGCACAAAGACAACAAAACATATTTTAGAAAAATGAGTGAAAGGCCTAATCATAAATATTGCCCAAAATGCAAAACTAAAAGCAGAATTAACAACACATAATATCACACACAAAGGGAAAGAAGAAAAAAACATCAATCCATACATACCCTTGCGTTCGTCTCTCAACCTTTCAGCCAAATTAGCCAAACCACCACAAAGCCTTGCCTCTGCAGCTAAGGAGCCAACAACTCCCTCTAATGCTCTCAACTCACCATATTCCGATTGCAAAACCAAATACGAGAAATGCTCGTCCAAAACCACACCAAGACATTTCACCACAGTTTCTAGAGACGGGACCCACTTGCAGACCTCCAAACCCAAAGCCGAAGACCCCTTGGGACAGGGACCCACCTGAGGGAACCTCTCGTATTTCTCAATCCACTTCCTTAAGTACCGAATCAATGCACTAATCTCCTCACCATCCAATTTCTCAACACAAGCTGAAAAAATCACCTCATCCAGATTTGGGGATGCTAGAAAACAGTGCAAGCATAGTTCGGACAATGAAAACCCATCATGCGCTAGCATGACCAAAGATGCTGCCTCCTTTGCCAAGCTAATTTCTTTCTCTTTAACCCCTTTGCCACTTGCCTTGTCAATAGCCAACAATGCTTGGCGCTCCCAATCCTTTCTCACGCTAGCCAAGCTCTCACGCCCATCCACCGGCAGAATCAAGAAGTACTTCAAAATGCACATCAATTCGTAAGCTTGCAAATCGAGCAAATGGTTCACGCAACAGACAATCAAGTCTGACCTCCGTTTTTCGATCAGTTTACTAACCAAATTCGACGTGAACCCATGGTTTACGAGACCGTTGACTATCAAAGCTTCTAGCATGTCCCAAACCTCTAAAACAATGCAGCCCTCTGCAACCAAGTCCCTAACATCCCTAGCCATCAAAACCCCCAATTTCTGGACAACATTATAATGGTACATCGGCTCGGATTTATCGAAATGTAATGAAATTCCAACCTTTTTTGCAGAACTCTCTAGATAAGAAGTCAGCATGTCAAGAAACTCAGGCCCACGAAACGAATTCGTGTCCTTAAGCTTCCTCCTAAGCTTCTTGAAGAACTTTTGACCTAACTCGATGAGCTCGTTGTCAGTTTGCGATATTTCCCATCCGGTGGCCTTTTTCACATGGATTTCAGATTTCGGGCCGTCGGATTCGGGCTTTAGCTTGGAGAAAATTGGGTCCGGGTTGAGCACGATCGGGTAATCGGACTCTTGGTCGGGCAAGGCAGGGGCGGCTGATGAAGCTTTTATTATGATTTCGAGTAAAGACATTTGAGATAGAGAGAAGAAACGGACTCCAAAAAAGTGAAAAGGGTCGCCGCCGGAACAGTTTTTAGGTCTGTTGGTAGACGAGGCGGCGGCTGCTGGTGGCGGTTCGAGCGAGGGTTTTAGCTAAGATTTACAGTGGAGTTTTTTATGAGTTGGGCAGCCTTGATGATTTTCGACTTTATTTATATTTTTTTAAAGTATTTTATTTTTTATCAGTATTTTTCAATGTATTTTATTGTCACCATGACTAAAATTCAAATGAACCGGACCGAGTTTTTCCTAATAATCGAGCTGGAACTCAAACTTTTGTTGAGCCGATAATTCAGCTAGAACTCGACTCATTTATCAATATTGACCAGTCAAGCTCGAATCTTTACGAATCGAGCTATAAACAATTACATAAGAATTTATATTTTTTTTTATATCCTAACGAGCCAAACTCGTTAAATAAACGAACTTTAAATGAACTCAAGTTCGACCAGTTCGATCCAAGCTAGAGTTTTAATTAGGCGAATCGAGTTCATGAGCGGCTCATTTAACATAACTTATTAATTATCAAATGAAAGAAACTGAACATGATATATGTACCTAGATATATAATTCGAGGCCTGTAAGTTTAAATTGACAATATTTAATTTACAATTAGGTTCGATTTAATTAAAAATAATCGCATATCCAGGAAAAGGATGTCGTTAGTAATTATTTGGAATATTTAGAGGTAATAATCATTTTGAAGTTCACATCATCAGATTTATCCAAATATGTACTAGTTTAAAATTTCCAAAATCATAAATTCATCTTATTTTTTTTTGGTACAAAGAAGGAGGCAAAAAGCCTAAGACCATTAGACAGCTAGACTCCGCGGATAAGCAACGCCAATGAGGTCATGCTGTAACCACGGTTTAACTGCCGACGGTGGATCTTGGAGCCGTAGATACCCACTAGGACACTGATGGGCTAGGGTCGCCAAACAATCGGCTGCAAAATTGGCCTCCCTATAACAATGAGACACACTGACCACCCAAGCCCGGCCCAACATCTCCCTAATTGCCCGAACCAGGCTGCCATGGATGCCGAGATTCTCAGTCGAACTCCCCGTCGCCATCGTCACCACACACGAACTATCAACTTCAACTCGAACCTTACGGAAGCCCAACTCCCAAGCTAACATCAGCCCGTGAAAAAGACCCCACAACTCCGCTCCAGTGATGGAGCAAAACCCAATATCCATCATAAACCCCCCAAGCCATCTACCATTAGCATCACGAGCTAGGCCCCCAGTAGACGCCATCCCACACGAAGGTAGAAGTGATCCATCTGTGTTGATTTTAACCGTACCATCCTCAGGAGCAGTCCATCGAATGAAGTGGACTCCTCTACCGGAACCGAAGCCACCTAGGTGGGTCTCGACGGAATTGGTGAGACGGATCCCCTGAACAAAGGAGCGGACTTCTCGAATTTTATTAGCTACAATGAAATCTTTGTCCGAAAAAATCTTTTCATTACGACCCCGCCGCACTTGCAAAATGGGCTACACATTGGGGTTGTTGCTTGGGAAACGAAGTGTTCCTCGTGTTATTTTTGTAAAATTTTATCCACTGATTTAATTGTTTAATAAATTTTTTTTTTTATACGAAACGATAGGAAAAGTTAAAAAATGTATTATATACAAAATAATAATAATAATAATTTTAGGAGAAATTTTGTTTGGACAAGAGCTTCAAACACGGCCATAACCGCTACTCAAATACACATATTATGCCTCATATATTTCAAATGCCACATTTTCACCAACTATTTTGTAGGTGTTTTGCGTGCAAGTGCAGTCAATCCGACTACACTCACCAGGTTTTTTTCTGTTGGATTATGTTGATGCTTCGTAAACGAAACGAGATGAGGCGAGCTCGAACTTAGGGTGCTCAAGCTCTTAACGAGTTGCGCCGAACTCGGCTCGTGAAATAAACGAGCCAGAAATCGAGCTCGAACTCGACTCGTTAAGGCCTCGAGCTCGATCCAATCTCGAGCTTTAACAAGCCGAAATATAAAAACTTATATAAAAATTCTCTTTTCGAGCCTTATCAAACCCAGCCGAGTTCAGCTAGTTAACCAAATGAGCTTTAAATGAGCTCAAGTTCGACTTGTTAAGGTCTCGAACTCGAGCCTTAACGAGCGAGCCAAGCTGAGTCATGATTTAACATCACGATGTTGATGTACATGTTTTTTTTTCTCCACGCAAGTATAAGTAATCTCGAAAAATCCGACTATCTTACCAGGTTTTTTACCGTTGGATCAACGCACACCCAAGTTGTGTTTGTGTGTGATTCAACC